CCTTCTTCTTCCTCTGTGTATCTGGGTGTTTATTACCCTACTTCGTGTCCTAGTCTTTCATGCTGAAACATACCCTTAACCAGATAGCATCACAAACCAGATAGCATCCCACTCTACATACCTGTGCCACATTAACAACTTGCTTTTTAAAAATTTTTATATGCATTGCTGTGTTTTTTATTTAGCTTGCTGTAGTTCCTTCCCATTGCTGTCTTCCATATTTCAATATAATTTGCTCCTTTCCATTTGCTTTTAACAAGATATGGTGGTCAGCTATGCGGTAATCTCCAGTAAAACTGCAGTGCACAAAAATCAGTATTATGTAGAGCAGGTTTTACTTCATGTCTTGCAAGTTTGCACCTACAGCTATGTCCCAATATGACGTTAACTTCCCCTCCACACTCCCAGTAGCATGTCTTTGATTCACTGTTGCTACACAATGCATTTAGCTGCAAGCTTCTTTCTTGCAAACCTTCTACCTAGCCAGTTGTATTCTATTCTGTATTTGTGCAGCCTTGAAGATCTTTGCATTGTCCCTATAAAATTGAACTGTTTTTTTTTGTTCCTATTTATAGTAAAATCTCCAAACTAGATAAATTTCCTAAGTTAATGAAGACATAAGAGCATCCTCCCAGCACACCTAAAAACCAAGGGAAGATACAAAGTTCTGAAAAATATTCTTTGGTTGTCTTACTCAGTCTTTATTCCAATAACAACATCTTACCAGAGATGGTTGCATGCTAGCTCTGTGGATACCTTGAGTAGCGATCATAAATCAGACACTCTTGCATGAACACCTTTTCCAGACCTTCATCTAGTAGAGCATTTGGAATTAGGCCCTACTCCCTTGCTTCTCATCAGCAGGTTCGTCATATAAGAAGCGAAGCAGCTAGACAGATTTTCTAGTTCTGAAACTCTTCTGAATATGCTTGCTGTTAAGACTTCTGGGCCACCTTCCATCACAGCAATCATCTCTATCCTCCTGTCCACACCCTACCTGGAAATGGGGCCTCTAACATGGACCCTTTGGGGAAATCTCAATTGCAGATAAATGGGTGTGGATTCCCCCCCTGCAAGGTATATGCAATGGATGGGTATGTTATGGGAGGCTTTCAGGCTGGCATTTTTATGAGATCTGTATGTTACTATGTGCTTTCATCTGAGAAAAATTATGCTAATGACCTGCTTCAATTCTTACAAGGATGCTGATGATGTTTATGAGAATGTGTTTACTTTTATCTCAAGTGGTAACTATTGCATATGTCCTAATCATGGCTCAGTTGTGTTAGGTAATATATAAGCACAGAGTAGTAAAACTGGCCCAAGAAAACTACAGTCTAAGTGGGGAGAAAAAAAATACATTAAAACAAGATTTTTTCAAAAATTTATTTTATAGGAGAGGACCTGTGAAATATATTGTTTTGAGTCTGTGTACGTCTACACTTTACACTCTTGAACCCTTCAACCTGAACTAAGAAAAGACTGTTCCTGTGGTACCATGTGACATGCCAAGGTCCCTTTTCCGTCTGTACCAGCAAGTCAATAGTTGCAAAGGATGGAGAATGAGGCCAAGGTCTAGCATGACACTGTCTCTAGAAAAAGGAATTCAGCCATCTTCCCACTGAGGCTGCTTTTCTTCCTCTGTGCTGGCACATCTTGGTGGCCATCCATTGATCCAGTCTACGGAAAACTTGTTTGGGTTACATGAAATGTATTAGGTTTTTTAACAGTTAAACTATATTTTTTAAAACTTTAATCATGTAAATAAAATACCGTGTTTTTTTTTTTTAGGCAGAGCCAAGAAAGAAAGCCAAGAGGCTTAAGATCTTGCTGATATCACTGTGTTTCATATTACATCAGCTGACAAGCAGGGCTCAGGCTGTGCATCGCTTCCAGGCTACTACTGTAACAGCTACCTACTGACTTATGTGTCCAGGTCTTCCTTCATACACACGTACACACACAGACACAAACACACTCCCACACACACCCCTGGCAGTTAGTCAAATGGAGCCAAAGCCTTAGGGTTGGTGCTCCATGAACTCACTCACACGCATGAGGCAACGGGCTGGAGAAGCAAGCACTGCAGAGCTCAGCAGTGGCAGAAAGGACTGGTCCTCACTGCCGCAGACAGCAGCATCAGATCGGGCAGCCTTTACAGACTTGTCCTGGTTTTGGCTGGGATAGAGTTAATTTTCTTCCTAGTAGCTGATATAGTGCTGTGTTTTGGATTCAGTATGAGAATAATGTTGATAACACACTGATGTTTTAGTTGTTGCTAAGCAGTGCTTACACTAGTCAAGGACTTTTCAGCTTCTCATGCCCTGCCAGCAAGAAGCTGGGAAGGGGGCACAGCCAGGACAGCTGACCCAAACTGGCCAAAGGGATATTCCATACCATGTGACATCATGCTCAGTATATAAACTGGGGGGAGGTAGCCAGGGGGCAGTGAGTACTGCTCAGGAACCGGCTGGGCATCGGTCTGCGGGTGGTAAGCAATTGCATTGTGCATCACTTATTTTGTATATTCTTTTATCATTATTGTTACTATTTTCCCTTCCTTTTCTGTCCTATTAAACTGTCTTTATCTCAACACATGAATTTTACTTTTTTTTTTTTTCCCCCCTGATTCTCTCCCCCATCCCACTGGGGAGGGGGAGTAAGTGAACAGCTGTGTGGTGTTTAGCTGCCTGCTGGGTTAAACCACACTGACAGAGACCCAGGCACAAAGTGCGCGGGCACCACAACACATAGGTACATTTTGTGCCTAATCAACCCCTTGTATGGATGGAATTAAGAGTCTCTCTGCAGTTAGCATTGGTACTTGTCTTAAAGGTTGTAACACTGAACAACACATTATAGCTTTTTTTCTTATTCCTGAATTTATCTCCTTCTTGTATGCCATTAAGCAGGATGTTGTGTCAGTGATGAATGTGATAACTAAACCACTGTATCCTACACGTACCATCTCACCTGTTTGTCCCCAGTTCCTTTCCCCAATACTACAGCTTCTCTGGAGCAGAAACCTCTACTCCCCTCCCACCCCGCCAAGAGTGAATCTGCTACTTCCAAAATAAGGAGTACCTTTCAAACTACATAAAGATGGAGCTGATAGTTGCTGGTTTAGGTTCTCTTCCTCCCCTTTCAGCATAGATGCCAGTTTTCTACCAAATTTACATGAGTAGCATGTGCTCATCTTGATATTCCTGCAGTTGGCATTGATTTAGGTGATCATTAATTTCTGCACACAAAAGCAGGAAAATCAGTAGTATGTTTGCTAGATTATAGGGTGACTAATAAGAACCAAAGTGTTGATGTAGAAATTGCAGACTTCACACAGGGCAAACCACATTAACTAAAGCTTCTAAAATGTAAAGTAAACTTTATTATCCTTGAACCACAAAATAGATTTCTTTGGTTGTACAAATTTCACTAGTTACAGTCTTGATGCGCTAATTTTCCCTCAGAGTCTCTCAGGAGAGAATGGGAGAGAACCCAGAGCCTGGCACCAGGTACCGCAAAGGGAAAGAAAAAAAGAATCACAAGTTAGTCACCAAAACCAATCCAGGATTGTTTCCAAAATTGCTGTTGTTAAAAAGCAAATGCTAAAATTAGATTTAAAAAGGAAAAGCTCAAATTGCTGATGATGGAAGCAGCCATAGCTGCAGTTTGATATTATCAGAGTTCCCCCTTCAAAGCTCTGTAAAATTAAAACATAGGAAGTCAGTTAAAATGATCCACTGAATTTTGGCATGAAGGGAGATTCTTGACTAAAAGAAACTGCATCCAGTTCTTTCATTCAGCAAATATACAAGCAGAAGTGCCTGTCACTCCCAAGCCACTTCGAGTCACTGAAAGGCTTAAGGTCCAACTCTGGTCTTACTGCTGGAGGG